GTGAGATACGATTTCGGCTAATATCTAGGTGGACACAAATCTATCTACCGTCAATGCCACATAAGTCGCCACTTTCAGAAAACCCGCTAGAATATATTAAATTTCGAAACACCAAGACGCTAAAAATTAAATGTAACACGTGTGCTGGGTAGGCCTATGTTTAGACTTTTGAGAAAAAAAGTCACTAAATTTTTTTATTGCTTGATCATATAATAAAATGGAAGTTCACGAGACTCGTCGGGAGTGGCGAGGTATATAGTACCTACTTTAAAGTCGCCAGCGATATTGACTAAGGGTACACTAAAGTCGCCATAGCCTGACGAGGTTATTGCAGTCTTTTCGTGAATAGCGCATACGTAAGGTAAAGTAGAGAAAGCCTCAAATTCACGCAGAACCAACCCTCCAACTTTGGTCTTTCTTCAACAAATTAATGGAAAAAAATAAAAATATTGCTTTTGGTCGAAAATAAACGAAACTCAATGGAATATATCTTTCTTCTAGCTACCATATTTCAGTGGATTTCCATTTTCCACTAAGATGTAATTTCGTGACTGGTAGAAGCTGTCCTTTTCACTGCATCGATGTTGGGAGGGCTGCTCAGTGTTCATTCCATTCATTCGCTTCTACTCTATCGTAAAAATGCACCTTATGGATGAACATCACGTATGAAAAATTATTCTGATACCATGTACCTAGTGTAGCACACTGGTCAGCAATTCGAACATAATTCACCCCGAGTGTGAATTTCTTTGTACGTAGCGTGAACAATATCTTTGAACCTAAAAAATGTAATTCCCGACCCCATCTTTAACTTGGGGGCAAATATCATGGCCGACAGAAAGAGCACATTGCCTGCAAGTAGATCTCGACCATTTAAATGCTTTGGTAGAGGCAGACACTGACCAATGAAATGCTTTTGTAGAGTCGCTGTCAGACACTGTAAAATTAAAAGCAAGTAACTATACCCACAAAAATATGTCGCAGACTTACAAGAAATAAAGAGAACGACCTTAATGTATTCTGTCGACTTCATTAACTTGACATCGTTCCCTTTCTACGAGGGCCTTAGGTACACAGAAGTCCTGTGTTATCAGCCAAGTCCCTAGGCACCGTATTACAGAGCTCGTGGTATCGTACACGACTGTGTCAATTTTGTTGGGTCTTCTTCCCACCTGTGAGGTTAGTTTAGGACTTAGGACATGCGTAGATGGCTTATGTAGGACTGGTTAGGAATACACGCAGAAACGGTCTCTTGTAAGAGTGTTTAATGTCTCGCGCAAATTGCCTCTTTCAAAAGTAATTTAATTAATGGGTCTTGCTTAAACGGCCTCTTTCAAGAGTGGTTAATGGGTCTCGCACAGATGACCTCTTTCAAGAGTGGTTAATGGGTCTCGTGCAAATAGCCTCTTTCAAGAGCAGTTTAGGGAGTCTGTCGTAAACGGTCTCTCTCAAGAGTAGTTTTTATAGGTCTCGCGCGAGCAACCCCTCGCAGGATTGGTTAGCACGCGTTAAAGGCCTCTTGCAATCTCTGCTTCTTTAGCTGTTCATCGATGCGTTCTTTGTGTCTTAAAAGGGGCTCATAGACCAGCTTACACTGTGGACGTGCGCTCGGCCTTGAGCGAGAAAGCAGCATTGTACTGTGAGCATTGTACTGTGAATATAAGTCGCATTAATTGGTAGCATTATTAACAGAAATTTACCTTCAATTTCGGTTTTAGTCATATCGCTTCTCCCTCGTTTCCACTTCTTGACGCGACTTATTCAAGACATAATTGAGGGTAAGGTGGCCCAGTATTACAGTTCAGAATACCGTGACTGCAGCAGTGAGGTGCGGGTTCGATCCCAGCTACCATGCAACAGCTGGTCAAATCAGCGAGGAGGCCGGGCGGTTTAAGCACGGCAAAATTAGAGCACTGAGGTGAGTGTTCAAAACTGCAACAAGCTGTGAAAATTCTGCAATGCTATGTCTATACTGGGCATATAATGATTCCTTGATTCGATGGCGTGGCCATCGAGCAGCAGAATTATTGGTTCATCTGTTAATAGCTGAGCAAATGCCAAAAATTTAAGTGTGAGCCACCGTAGGACAAGTTCACAATCCACAGAGACAGTTGCTTGTTTGCCGTCCAAAGCTTCGTCGGAGACACCTCAGTAGCTTAATTAGTTGCCTTCTGGAAATGCGGCTTTGAAAATGATCATTGGAGCCATTGCAACGCAGTACGGTGAAACACAGCAATTGATGCTTCTGTGTTATTGTTATGCCACGTGTCAAGAATGGGAATTCTTCACTCGCCAAGGCAAGACAACATTCTGCGAGGACTTGTTGAGGTCCACCAACACCATGTCATGGGGACATTCACTAACGTTATCACGTTCATGAGCTTCTCGCAGTAATCCTAAAGAATCGATCCAATTTTCATTTGTTGAAAAAATTGCTCAGCCGCGATCTAAGCATTCAGCTTTCCGATGTTTGACCGACTCAGGCTTTCTGGAACTAAACTTCAACCCTCATGCGTAGCGTCGATAGCGAGGCCTCTCTCTTCAAAAATGTCTCTTGGACGTGCAATCAATGCACCAGGCAAACATTGAAATTTTGGGCATGGTCATAGGAAAATATCTATTTGTCACATATTCAATGTAATTACAGAGCAACAGCTCATGCTCTGCTGACAACACGGTTGGTTTGCCTGGTACAGTATTCCTTGACTCATATCGAGAGGCGATCTGAGTCATGCGTGGCACATTGAACGTACAGGGAGCGGCAAACGCGGGAAGATTCTAATCTCTGCAGGCTGCAAGAGTCCAATCCATGTCCTTATGCATCCACAATCTTATATTTGATCCTTTTCTTGAAGTCTTCTTGAATGACCCAAAATAATTGTATTAACATACATGAACAAACGCAGGTAGCGTTTTGATCACACAAAATAACGTACATAAATATTTATCATCCAACGTGGGTTTTATCATTTAAAGTTTATAAAAGTGCTTTACATTGTTTTTATTTGTTTTAATCTCTTCGTTTTACAAGATTTAATGAGGTAGTTTACCTTGTTAAGACTATGTGTAAGAAAGTCGACTCGTTTCATGCTTATTCAAACAAGCTCAGACACTTCAATGCAGTGCTATACACTTCGTTCGCGTAACTCCGATCGATGCAAGAGTGTCGTGCGCGACTTTTGAAGTAATTTTACAGAGTTTTTAAAAAATAATTGCTAATTCTGTGCTGAAGAACATGAATGGGGAATCATACTGGCAAAGCAGGGAGTTTTTTAGACTCTCCCTCAAGTTCATTTTTGAGTCCTATAAGTAGACCAGTAAAGTATCCTGGATACCAGCATCATCATACATAAGAAATTGGTTTGAATCTTGGGTAAATGAGGAAATTAAAAATGAACTGATTCTTAACAATCTCTGGTTTGTCACTATGTGGGGAACGATTCTTGAATTATTTTAGGCAACACTCTGACACAATTATTGCATTGTTGGTATAAATTAGCAAAGAAAATTATCCTTCAAGTCCTGCCTCATGAAGCAAATGTCCTACACAAACCTCGCCATTTATCCCAAATTAATATGCACTTAAGTCGCCAGGTATACATAGAATAAATTGATGAGTGAATTAAAATGTCTCTAAAATTTTGAGTACAAGCAATATGAACCTCTTTTTATTGCGTTTCAGCTCAGAATGACCCCGAGCTTGTATGGAAAACATTTTCTCTGCAATAAAGCATCGCCCAAGTGCGGTGCAGACAGGAGAAGTTAAAAATTTGTGTCGCTTGCAGAATTTTCGTCATGTTGATTTGTAATCTCAGAACTAATTACAAATTAAATGTCGGAAATGCATTATACTAACTTCAAGCATAGTGACAAACCAGAGATTTTTTAGAATCAGTTCATTTTTAATTTCCTCATTAACTCAAGACTTGAACCAATTTCTTATGTAAGATAATGCTGGTATCCATGATACTTTACTGGTCTACTTATAGGACTCAAAAATGAACTTGAGGGAGAGTCTAAAAAACTCTCTGCTTTGCCACTATGCATGATACTTTACTGGTCTACTTATAGGACTCAAAAATGAACTTGAGGGAGAGTCTAAAAAACTCTCTGCTTTGCCACTATGACTTCAACTTCAAGCAATATTAATAAATGTTCTAGTATTTTCATATGGTAATAAAATGTTTGTATTGGGTCCATTTTAATAAATATTTCCTTTTCTCTGTAGCATGGCGACTTTAGTGGCATTGACGGTAATTGATTATTAAATGTTCACAAGCACACGTCCGTAATCAACCGCAGCTCCCGACAGTTGTTCGGAGACCCTCATGTGAGTTGATGTCTTCTCTCTCAAAATAAATTCATTCATCCTTAATCAACATAAAAGTGATACAACATACCGGCACTCGGAACTCAATGTGCTCGACGGCTCGTTGATACGCCAGAAGAGGTATTTTCTGGAGGCATCAGTAGCACGCATTACGTTCGGGTTCAACATTTTCTCATCATGAAATATAACTCAAAAACATTAGAAGACGATCGTTTAACGAAATAATTACGGTTGCTTTCAAAAGGATGAACCGTTTACACAGGATCATAGCAAGTAATTCTGGTGAGCTACAACGTGTTTTGGCCTTTAGGACAGAGGAAAATGCCCGCACTAAAAGTTGGATTCGATCAATTTTTAGTGCGTCAGTAAAGTCTCAACTCGACCTTGTTGTAATCATGGTTGAACTATATATCTACTAGTTCAACCATGGTTGTAATTTACCAGCAGTTAGTGCAGTCTTGTATATCGCAGTTTTGTACATCGACATGTAACAATGAACATGTTACGTGCAAAGCTTAGTAATTGAATCGACACGTTAAACACCAAAACATAAGTAAATCCTTCATTTTCAGACAATTTTCCTGCTGTTTACAAGCTGCAAGTTTACTGCTTTACCAAAAGTTATCATTCAACTAGCTAACTTCAATGTGAAGGAGAATAATACACTGCGGGTTAACTGGGTGTCTTTTGAATCTTCACTTGTATCAGCAGAGAAGCCCAGTGGTTACAGATTAGGGTATCAGCAGGATTGGAGCAATGAGATGTGGGTTCGATCCTAGCTTCTTGTGACAGTTCTTGTCAAATGGGCGAGATGGCAAGGTGGCTGAGAATATAACGATTGAAGCAGCAAGTTGCGGGTTCCTAACCCCCAGAAACTAGTAAGAATTTGAATGTAGCACACTAACCTCTTATCTCTAGAAAATTGTAATCGAGACTGTATTTTAGAAGTTGTTTCAAAATTTTCTCTACCAGGCTCAATCAAATCAGCGCAGAATCTGCTTCATTTTTTTTCAAAAACTCAAGATGAATCAACTGAATCAAATTTGTTAAAAATCAATCTTGCGTATGATAATTAGCGATATATATGATCAATCTCAATATATTTATTCAAACAACATGAATAGCTGTAGGATAGTTCCTATATCTTGTTCATGGTTTGTTTTATGTTTTTTCAAATGTTGAATTTGATGTTGTATAGTTTTTTTACATGTATTGATTATTATGACTTTGTATGTCATAGATATTAACTGAAAGAAATACTCGTTTCGTTTATGATCAGAATGAAAGAAAATGGGTCATTTGAATGTTCATGCTGGATTTTTAACTATTGAGCGCGGGGGTGTCCTAAATGTTTCTTAAGCATTTTCAACTACTAATTGAATGTTATGTCATTAAGTATGAATACAAGTATCTCCAACAAAAGCCGGAGTTGGGATGAGCTACGTACTTGTGTTCTGAACTTTACGAGGTGAGTTAGTTAAATAGTTTTCGCTATTTTCCTTGAGTGAAGAGGAAATAGGATGATTAGATGATGCTGGCGCACCGGTCTTATGCCATTGAATCGTGTATGATAAGCCCTCATTTTGCGTCTTTCGTATGGGCTCCGAAGGTTCTGTAACACTCTGAGGACCAAGCGGGACACTTGCTAGGCCCAGTGCACGATGAGTGGTGATTTTCGGTTCAACAGCAGGACCCTGTGGGATGAAGCTCGAAACTTGCGTTGCTTCTTCTGGGTCCAGACCTCCATCTGTCGGTGCTTCAAACTTAGATTTGACTGTATAATTATTTGGAGTGAGCTTTGGATTGTTGGTATGTTCGGTTCGACTTTTTGAAGGGGGTGGTGGGCTTATGAAGAATAATGAATGTAGTGAAGAAATTTCCAATGAAGAATTTCTCAGAAGAGGATGGCCATTGTAAAAGCTTAGTTGGGCCCGTTCTACATCTGTGATATGCGGGGCCAATGAGGTGCCCCGGTCGGGTATTGAAAATTCTGGTACAGGTATTTGTTCTTCAACTGCTGGTTGCGTAACGATATTCTGGATTATTTTCGACTGAAATTTTCTTCGACTGTCAGAAACATACGTTTGCCCACGTTCATTCTCGTTATCAACAACAAAATGACGCCCGGAAATATTCTGTGCTATATTCTTTTTCAGTGTATCAAACATGTCATCATTTTTGAGGTTTAAATTTATTTGAGAAGCGATTTTCCCTCCCTCAAAAATAGTTTGACCAAATTTTACTTTAGGTGTCCGTTGGGAATCAAACGGTGCAGATTGGGGGAGGGACAAATTTTGTTCTGATTTCACGTTGAATTTCAAATTTATGGGGGTGTAAAAAACTTGTGAAGTACCATCTTCCAATAATTCACGTTCAAATTTCAGGTCTTTGGCAACGACGGGTTTGAGTGACTGAGGCAAAATTTCCGGTATCAGGGCCGGAATGAGTGTTTCTTTCGCTGGATTCTGTAGCTTAGCTTCGTCTTCACCTAGGACTTTTTGCACTGTTAGCGATACCTTCTTATCATGTTCCAGGACACTACTGACCTCCTCGAAGTCCGATACTGGACTGCGTAGTTGTGACTCTGCTTCGTAACCGCGCTCATATAAATGGTCTAAAGGATTTTTTATCACCTTACCAGCATTGAGATTGAAATGTTTTACTTCCGGACTCACATTCTCAGGAAAAAATTCTTTTCGATCTCGAGGGAAAAGGTATGGAGTTATTCTTACTTCTGTGGCAACGAATCCAGTCTTTTCAAGCATCTCTTTGATTCCTTTGTCTGTACCTTCAATACCGACAGTCGGTACTTGTTTATCATATCCGTGTCCACAGCCTTCTTTTCCACAACTGTCAAGCTGCTCTATAAAAACCGGGTCTTTTCTATCAGTCGTTAAAGTAAAGTTGATTGTCTGCCTTTCGTCAAGTGCATCAAAACTTTCTCTTTTTATAGGCCTCTGTAGAGGTAGTTGTTCGAATGAAGTCGGTTCATCGTCAAGCGGCTCCCTGTGCGGCGACGGGTTTAGATCTGGTCCCCGTAATTCTGTGGGTTTGATGTAAATCGAATTAGGGTCTTTGAAGCCTTGAGAATCGTGAATCTTACGAATTTGATATCCTGGAGCATATTGATAAAAGTTTCCTAAGTCAGTTGCAATTTTATCGGAGTCACTATTGTATTCTGGCTCGCGAAATAAGTTCTGCGGACCCGATATATCTTTAGTCTGTTCATAAGACTTGTCATTTATTCTCACCTGATGATTCAAGTAGACGTCATGTTTGTCATGGGGCGAGGGCTGTCTTCTAACTTGAAAAGCTGAAGGTACACTAGGCGTATTCAGAATGTGGGATGATTCCGATTGTGCCTTGAAGTGATCGTTGGGAAACACATTAGTTGGTGCGGTGGGAGTTTTTTGTGGCTCCACACGGTCGTAATCTAAACTACTGTCGCTGTCTGGATCGAGTAGATATGGCCTGATACTTTGAACAGTCGTACTAGCAACGGTCAAAAAATCGTTTGCTGGAGCTGTGGGTTTAGCGGGATGCGACCCTTGCACCAGCGAAAGTAATTCTGTTCCTGAAAACAATGTGGGCGCTTCTGTTGTAGGAGGTTTCGGCAGCGGACGGAGACCGAACGACTGAAGCACCTGCGAATGCTGATCCTCGGTTGTGCTCAGGCTTTCTGGCTGATGTGCGAATTGCTTGTATTCGATAACAGGAAATTTGGATGATGAGCGTGGTGCTTCGTAAGCACCAGATTCTCTTTGCGAAGATTCTCTAGAAGCCTCCCTAACGTCATAAATTTCCGGTCGCGTCGGCTTCTCGATTTGTTGATTTTCTGATAATATCTCTTGGTTTCTAACGGGAAAACTCCCACCAGACCTTGTCAAGGGATAATATTCTCCTCTTTTTGGGCCAGGTGTTAAAAATGCATCTCTCTCAATTTTCAAATCAGCTCCAGTAAATGTTGGAATTTTTTGCCCGTTCAGTATGGGACCTTGCTTACCATCATTATAATTTTCTGCTGTAATAATCTTTGGAGATTTAAATTCTACTGATGTGTCTCGAGGCCCCGTTTGAAGTGGAACAAATTCAGCTGTTTGTTCATTCTGTAAAATCTTAGAAGGTGAGTGGGGTGCATCTGTGCCTAAGGTTTGATGTGCAGCGTATCCTGGATGTGCCGCTTTCGGGAAAGCTTGATGAGGGACGTAATCCTGCGGTGACGTTTCCTGTGACTTCTGAGACGAGACATAATCTTGTTGTTGACCGACTCCGTAGTCTGGCGACGTTCCACCTTTCGTGATTCCAGTTGAAGCATGACTGGTGTGAGGAGCAGGTGGAGGTGACGGCTGGAAGGGGGATAGTTTGGAATCGCTGCGAATTGGAAATCCGCCATGTGAGACATAATTCTCTGGCTCTCCAACTTTATGTCTATCTCCTGGCACTGGTAATTTGTTCTCTAACCTAGGCTCAGAAACAACAATTGGGGGAATGCTTGGGGGATTAGAAATTCCTTCTATTTTGTCGTATACTGCTTTGGTTTTCTTTTCTTCGGGAGTGAAAGTTTTCTCAACTGCAAGTAAATCTTGTTCAACTCTTCTAGTCAATTCTGCAGTTTGTTCTTTTGAATTTTTTCGTTCAGGGAACGGCAATGGCGACAAACTTGGGTCTTTGATGGCCGCTGAGAAAGCTGTCTGGAGTGGATTAACAGCGACTTGTCGAAGTGCATCAAATTGGTTTTGACTTCCTGGAGTTTTAAGGATGGGTTCTAAGGGAGTCGGTTGGCTTGGCACTGAAATTCCTGGATTAGAATATTTCTGCGCTCCCGCAGGCAAAAATGCGTTTATGCCTTCCTTTAGAACTTTGGAAACTGGTGGTATATAAGGTCGCTCTTGACTCTGTGCGCCTGGGCTCCCGAAACGAGGAAAATTTCCGAAATCTGGGAAACCGAAATTCGGCAAGAAAGAACCTCTGTTAAGATGACCGAAGTTGAGGTTTCCCCCGTCGGCATAGTCTGGATGGCCTCCGAAAGTAACTGGTGCACCATAACTTGGACCGCTTACGAAAGGCGGTGATGCAAACGTCAGGCCTGGATTCTACGAATAAAATAATTGACAATATTAATTTACACTGTTTAGTGTGACAAATAAGCCTCAATGCGTAGAAATAATGAACATGCATTGCAACAGCCTAAATTGATGAAAATAATTATACGATATTTGATTAATGGCGTGTTTTTCTAACATAAATTTTGTTGATTTAAAATTTTTATCTGTTTCACAAGCAAGTATCTATGATCCAGGTTGAAAATATCGGAAGGAAAGACGATAAATTTGGTTGCGTTATTAATTTTCCATTTCGTGAGAAAAGAGATACCTACCTGAGCAGCGGCGTGGATGTCAAACACATCGTACTCTGCAGCTGGCTTTGCCTGGTCTCTAACCTGATAAAAAAGGATAAAATTATCATTCTTATTTTAAACTTAGAAGCGGTTAAATTTTTCCAAAACAAGTCATTCTGGATTAGTTATATTTCATGCTGATTTTTATGTTCTCAAATTCACGATCTTCGGCCAAATATCAATTATCAAATAAGAAGACAATTTTGTAAAAAAAATTAGCAATAAATAAATTGTCCCTCACCAATGGACGAGTGTTTCGCTTGCGTTTGCCATTTCGCTCCCTTGTCGCCTGTAGCTCCTGCTCGTGTCGCATTCCCAGACACTCATGAAGAGGATAAAGGCAATACAACATGAAAATCAACGCAATTAATCTCATCTCGTCGTCGGAGTTATTTCATGGGTCTCAATAAGCTTTCGGATTTAATCCACCGAAAAATTTTTTTTTAAAAACAAGCCTGTTGTGTTGGAAAGTAAAAAAATTTAGAATTAATTCATGAACATGTGTTTAGATTGTAGATGGGCCGACAAGTTAAAAAATATTATTGTAATGAGCTCATCTTACATCACTAAATAGGGCTTCTCTGAGAGATCTATTCTGGGCTTGAAGCACATCAATACAACTCCAATACAATTTGAATGCCTCTATTCTATTTATGCGAATTATTTTTTAGAGACAAATTTATTCAAATCTGCAAGCCAAACGACACCATATCTTTATTACCGAACAGAACTGAGGTGGTTGAACTTAATACTTAGCTAACGTATTATTTGGGACCAAGCCTGAACTTGAGTGATAACATGATTTATAAAAATTATTTTTAGCTACGCAAGTTGGAGAAACTAATTTTCATAGGAGCTCTGGACTACACAAATACTTTTCGAAGGAAACGCCTGTTCCTTCAATATGCGAGGTTTCCACCAACTCACGAACAGTCCTTAAATCACCTCTATGTTAAGCTAAGTTGGGTGCAAGACTTCCTAACAATATTTAATATGAATTGAAGTCAGTGCATGTTTTGACTCAGTGACCAACCCCCAGCGACACATCAGATAAACTGTGGACGACGTCTCGCGAAGGCCTCTCATGAGGGCGACAACAAAACGTTGAGAAAGTTCTGTGACTATACACCAGACAATGCGTTGTTATGTATTTTTGATGAGTATAAACTTTGATGGCTACTATATGAATTAAATATTTCGAATTATGTAAGACTAAGGATTCAGTTTGTAGACCACAGCCCAATTTATTAATGCAGACAGTTCATTTGTATGTAATGTAATATTGGCTGTGATTACCAAGGCCCTGACTTGGCCCTGAAAAATGTATTCCATTTATTCCGGTGCCTAATCTTTTACCGCGCGAATTCAAGTACAAACTTTTTCCTAGGCTCTTTCCGTCTCTATGGTTTGACTTTGAATAATGCCGAGCATTTTATTATATCCAAACTTTTTCTTGAAAGTGTCCTTAGTTAACTAGTGTGGAATAAATTACTCACGCACTGTAATTTGTTTGTCTTTTAAAGTAAGTGATCATATACACGTAAAAGTTATATGAAGTTAACCTAAACAATGACGATGTGGATGAGAAAGGTTATATGATGCTACATTTCTTTAAAGCAGCCCAAATAAGTTTAAAATTAACACTTAGGCAAAAATTGCTTTAAAAATGGTATCTTATTTATTACTCTATTGTGAGAATTTTTTTCTAGATTTTTCTGCTCTTAGGTGGATCTTTTCATTAATTGAGTTAAAATCGCAAATAGTACATTCACTTTCACTAATTCTATTGCCATGAATGGAAGTCTTTACTGTTGACCCAACTGAGCGATGTCACAAAGGTTTTCATTGAAACAGAAGTGAAATCCTTGCGGCGGTGCGATAGAACTTCAAAAAGGCTTACGTTCACTTCAAGTGACTGAATGGTGCAACCCTGCGTTGTCAATGATCTGCATAAAGAATTGAATTCGGGAGCGGAAACATTACATCGGTGGTTTCAGGCTCCCGTTTCCCAAGGTAAATTGTGTAGTTTCGTGTGTCATTTTACGTGCAGACATTCACCAGTATACTCTTAAATTTAATATTACTGTTTATTTATACGATGTTAGGAGCGAATTCCCTATCTCGCCTCTTTATTATCAGTGATGATTCGTGTTCAAGTTTTTGATTCTAAGGGCACAACCCACCAGCATTACAACAAAGATATGATCTTTTGATCTTCGATAATGGAGCGATTATTATTGATAAGCCTCGCGCTGCCTGAATTGTGAAGAGATCATCACTAGGCAGGCCGGCTCACTACCGTATTGTTCGACCGATTGCACGCCGTTGCATGAAGTCCTATTATCTTTTCATGCGTGTTTGTTATGCATTTAAATTTTCAAAACAGGCAGTCATATATTTTTACTTCGACACAAAATATAAGCTCGCTGTGAAAACGAATGGTCATCTAAACCGGCGAATATCTCATTATATTAAAAATTCTTTCATTTCGCTTACCAGCTAACAGCTGCACATAAATAGCTTTTTTTTATTTTTTCATAGTTGGGTGCCGGAATTTACTGTTAATTGAACTTGCTTCAGCAGAGATGGATTCTGCTGCTCTCGCTTCTTTCAGTGAACCTTCAGTTTTTCTTAAGGCCATCGAATTTGTAAGTGAACGCGTACTCATAATTTCATGCATCATAATATTATGTATTATGATGCTTGCTTCAGTTAAGTATAGCTGCACAACAAAAATAAATTGGAATAAAATTTAAACTCGTTGAAATTATTTGTTCGGTTTAGTCCTGGACAATCTTAACTAATTGACCAGGTGAAGGTCTCTTTTTGATATAAATTAAGCATCTGTGTTATAATTTGAACCGAAGCTCTAACAATGAGTCTTTTTTTTTTTTGAACAATTGAGATTTGTGTTATTAAAAAATTTGATCAACTGCTATTAATTCAATTACTGGCGTAAACAATGCCATTATACAATGCATTCAAACCATTCATTTCATAGCCATAATATTCAATTGCCTGATTTCCTTAGCTCAAATTATACATTCAAATTATTGCCATGACCCATCTGTTGTTTTCGGGTCAAAATGACCTGCAATTCCGAGGCCATGCCCAGAGGGTATAGGCCGTATACCGGAAATGAAGACAACATGAAATGAAGACAGTATGAAATGAAGATAGTATGAAATAAAGACAACAACTTCATTCCCGTATACCAGAAATGAAGACAACAACTTTATTACCGTATACCAGAAATGAAGAAAACATGAAATGAAGACAACAACATCATTTCCATATACCAGAAATGAAGACAACATGATCTTGCTTCCAGCGCACAACTATTTAAGCCTTAAGTGAATTTCACGTACACAGGATGTAATTTTATTCTATTCCTGCAGATCCTGACAATCATCTCGATATCGGTGGAGCAGGGCGGGCTAGCGTCGTTCAGCAAGCAGTCTGGGGATGTAATTTTATTCTATTCTTGCAGGTCCTAACAATCATCTCGATATCGGTGGAGCAGGGCGGGCTAGCGTCGTTCAGCAAGCAGTCTGGGGAGTTCTTCTTCGGAGGAGCCATGATCATGACCATCACTGTGTCGGGCCTGCTGCTCATCTGCTACATGCTCGGCCAGCAGCGACACATACAAAACACTCATTTCGTAGGTTACGCGAATTGGGATTTTTCTAGCAGAATCTGAATTCTTTTAATTTTCATAGGGAAATCAAACCAGGTTGAAAATTTCTCTTGCATTTATATGTAAAATCGATAGAACAATTTACCAATTAATGTATATATGGATGAGAATTAGTCAGTTTTCTCGTGATAAGCAACATTTAAAATGTCGTAAATTTAAGTATTGAGCGTAGCTAATGTATAATTCCTGTAGGTATAATTATTCAATTAATTATTTTAAATTTTAGCAGTTAAACGAATATTTTGATATCGTTTCACTTTTTTATGATAACCCTTAATGTTTAGCAACTTTCCATATTTATATGTTTCCGCATCCTGTTGTCGCTGAGATAATCACATCCGCCCTGATAATCCTCCCTGTACTCAGTTAAATAAGCCAGACACTGTCTCAATATCGATGAACTTTTTGCCTTAGCGTCGGTCATCCTGACCCAGTTTAGCCTAACGAAAGAGCGCATCAGAGTTGCGAACGCTCTTTGATTGATTGATTTTTATTCACATTTTATTTTATTTTGATTTTATTTGCTAGCGTTGTGTGTGAAAAAGTGTCACTATTTACACTCCATGACCCATTCATTACCCTGAGTGTATCTTAAACAAGCTCATATATTCCTTTACTCTCACATAGAATAGAATAGAATAGAATAGAATAGAATAGAATAGAATAGAATAGAATAGAATAGAATAGAATAGAATAGAATAGAATAGAATAGAATAGAATATAATAGAAGTGTCGGCACTGAAGAAATAGGCCCATGGCCTGTTGCCGATTCTTGAACTTTTCGTGACTTGATTCACAAAGGATCCGGCTTTTGGAACCCGATCTTTCCATAACTGACGATTGATTGAGATAGCTGCTGGACTTATTGCCTGGTCCGTAATTTGCCAATCCCATTCACTACCCTGAGTATATCTTGAACAAACTCATATATTCTTTTACTCTTACAGGAGTTTTCGTTCGACTGCATCGGGGCTTTGTTCCAACTGACGGCTGGGGCCCTTGCCATCAGCGAGTATGCGGGCAAATCAGGCAACGAGGCCGCGCACGCCAACGCCGCTGGCTCCGTCTGTATCGTCACCTCGGCCGTGTACATCTTCGACGCTTACTACGCCTACATCAACTACCGCTCCATTATGACCCAGCCTCCACCGAGCCAGCAGAACACCCAGAGTCTCCCACCGAGTATCTAATGGGGGCTTCCTGCTTGCGGATTATGAATATTAGGAAAATAAAATATATATAGTCTTCTAAAGTTTACTTAAGTTTGTGTCTGTGGAATATTTACCTCGTGGATATGAAGCCACATAACAACATTGGGGTACCATTAAACATTATATACTGGAGAGATTCGCATCAGAATTTGTCGCTCAATAGAAGCAACTATCACGAAATGATCGAAACTCTCTGTTGCCGCCAACAGTCAAAAACTGTCAAGCTAAAATTTTGTATTTTAGTTTGGAAGTTATATTCCAAGGAAAATTACGCTAAATATTCAAAATTTGTTGCTAAAAATTTATTTCAATAATTTTTTCTACCTACAATTTACCTGCATTCTTTTTCCCGCTAAATTCGTTGGAAATGCGCTAGATTTGGCGTGAAAGTAGCTGAATTGGCAACACCGACGAAACCTGTTATATTGAGTTTGTTAGTGAAAAAGGTGCCCAGAAAAGCCCCTGATTGTGACGGTAAATGTATAAAGTTGCCTGGCGTATTATAGTGTGAGTTTTAAGTCGTCAAAAAACACATAATTAAATTTTCCTTGAACTTTCCGGAAGCATAAACACAATTTAAATCACGTTGTTCAAACAAAATTTTTCTAATTTTAAAAGTAATTATAATAAATCTTTTTAAATTAATTGAATCTTTGGCCGGCCATCATAGTTGATCCTATGGTTAAAAATCAATGTTTTCTTCTGTTAAAGTAACTTTTTTCACCTTTAGACGACAATTAAGATTTTTTACTTTTAATTTTTAGTTTAAGAGTTCTAGTGAGCATCCGCACACCAAAGATTATTTTAGCGCCAAGTTATTATGCTTGATCCAGAATAGTTGCGTATCCCAGCAATTGAGTGAATAATCAATAGCGTCTCAACTGTTGAATCTTATATTGATGAATTGAGTATATATATGTCGCTCTACTAAATATTTAATCAATATTTATTTTCCATAACCTTCGAGTTCATCATGTAAGCAATTTGTTGTTTTGGGTTACAAAGGCAGGTTATTTGCAAACAAAATTCTCGTTTAAGGCATTTATGGGTTCAAGATTTATTGCAGACAGACACGGCGCCATACATGATCCAGTCTCTTTCGCCATATTACAGAATTTTTCTTTGAAAAATTGTAAAATAACAAGTAAATGGAAGAAGGGATTCATCAAATAGGATTTCCCAAATAAAATGATCTAAACGCAGAATTTTATTGACGGATTCTCATTCACTTGATCAAGCATAGTTCTATGTAATTTATACAGGCAGAACTCACCTGCCAAATAATTTTAGAAGCCCAGCTTAAACGCTACTAATTGCTGACATAGCATTCTGAAGCATTACAATTTGTTTTAATTACGGTCAGCTGATTAAACTTTTAAAAAATCTTCCATTAAATTTTAATCGTTTGCTGACATTCAATATCGGTTTAATTTTTCATTGCAGAAAGACAACAAGTCTAGCAAAGTGTCTCCTGGAATGTTCTTTCTTCTTATTGTAGAAAGTTATTTGAATAATTAAAAATTTATTTCCCATGTCCATAATCTCCTCCGCTGACCCCTCCTCCAAATCCACTGTAGCCAAAGCCGCTCCCGAAACCAGCGCCAGTGCCGTAGCCAAGTCCGTTGTGGCCAGTGCCTGAGATAAATTATCGCGATCTGAAATCTACTATCAAAATAATATAATTTAAAGTTATACTCATAATACAGTTTATGGAATATATACAGGAATGCATGATACCTTTGGCTCTGAGGTAGGCAGTCTTGGCGGCAGAGGACGCTAGACTGGCTGCTGCTTGCGACGATGCGAGGCTTTTGAAAGCCAACTGAAACAACCGTAATAAATTGAAATAGCAGAGAGTTACACAAAATGACTTGAGTTTAAACATTTAAATCTCAGATGAGTTTGAAAAGTTTCAGAAGGCAAGGGCGATTGTTTTTTATCGAATAAAGGTTAAGCAGATTTCTGCTTAACCTTTAACCTTTTCAGATTCTGCTGCGTTACACTTCTCATCAGCATCACTTCCAGTCACTGATGCAATCTAAATTGTGGCAAATAGAGCTAAAGATCAGATGAAAAACTGGAGCCATGGAAGGCACCGAAAGGTCAATGCAAAAAGTGAACCATGCACTATTTGGACAAAGTCTCCCTCATTTCTCTGAGTGTTCTGTGCCAGCCAGCAACGCTCGGCACCTTTCTTTCCACAAGGCAAATGAAGTTAAAACAACGTTGATTGCGAGTTGACTTCCTTGAAATCAACGTTGATTATGAGTTTACATGTTGAAATCAACGTTGAGAACGAGTTTACATGTTGAAATCAACGTTGATTACGAGTTGATTTCATCGAAATCAACGTTGATTACGAGTTGATTTCATTAGGAACAACGTTGATTATGAGTTGATTTCGTTAAAATAACGTTGATTACTAGCTTACTTTGTTGAACCAACGTTTATCCCTATTTGATTTGATTAAAACAACCTTCAACAAACGTCATTTCAACATGAGCTGCCTAGTCGCACCTTCTCCTGGCCCTGCAGGAGGCTCGCTGCCTGCTGCGCGTTCCACTCCTGCGCGGCCTGCGTGTCCACGGCGTTCAGCGCCGAGGCATAAGCGTTGTTGCTGAGCCCTACGTTGCCCTCGGCATACAGGCGGGCTTGTGTGAGGGCGGCAGCCTGTGTGAGGGAGACAAGTGTGTGAGGGAGAGAAGTGTGTGAGGGAGAGAAGTGTGTGTGGGAGAGAAGTGTGTGAGGGAGAGAAGTGTGTGAGGGACTCTTCACACACTCCCCCTCTTCACACACTCCCTCTCTTCACACACTCCCTCTCTTCTGTGTGAGGGAGAGGACAGTGTGAGGGAGATGTATTCAATCAGACTATACTGTACCTATATTTTATAACTTTCGAACTGACTCCGAAATGTTTTCTAAATAGATATGATTAATTTTTGTGGAATTGGCGATTAAATCAATCGAGTGACGTTGATACCTGCAGAATAGTACGTTTTATTTGCGTGGGTAGGAGAGAACTGTTGAAAAATGCTCATACGCTGGGTGAAACAATGCTATGGTAAAGACCGTGACATTTCAACCTGACAATGCTTATTTAAAAATCTGACATGCTTTTCTGAACTTGACAATGCTTATCTAAACCTTAAAATCTGTATTTAAACCTGATAATGCTTATTTAAACCTGAAAATGCTTACTTAAACCTGACAATGCTCACTTAAAAACCTGACAATGCTCACTTAAAACCTGACAATGCTTAGTTAAATCTGACAATACTTATTTAAACTTGACAAAGCTAATTCAAAAGCATTACACTAAATGAAACATTAACAAAATTCTTGAATATCAAGATCAGTTAAAATCTCAGATATATAATAATTCTTTTGTAAATTGATATCGGATTGGATACTTTTCATGACAAGAATTGGAATTAGCCATTAATTTCTCATATAAAAACTAAACTTTTGCATGAACGTAATTTTCAAAAGTTTTCATACCCAGACGTTCATAAATTTTACATCGAAATTAAATAAACTTGATCGATTATCGGCCGATTTTACCTGATCAAGAGCCCATTGTTTGAAGGACTGTGCAGCCTGGACGGTCTTGGCGACTTTAGCGGCGTTGGCGGCCTCGGCAAAAGCGGCGCCGGTGGCGGCCTGTGCGGCGTGCGTGAGGCCCGCCGCCTGCGAGAACTTGGCGGCGGCGGCGCTCTGGGCGACGTGCGCGGCGCCGGCGGCCTGCGCGGCCACGTGCTGCGACGCTGCCTGCGCTGCGTTCCACGCAGCCTGCAATCCCAATGAAATATGAATTAATATCTCTAGCAAAATATAAATAACGGATCAAAAACAACGGAATTTAAAAGGAAAGACAAACTAAAAACAACCAATATGAAATATGAATTAATGTCTCAAACAAAATATAAATAACGGATACAAAACAACGGAATTTGAAACGAAAGAAAAACCAAATCCAACCAAAATGAAATATGAATTAAGATTTCTAGCAAAATATAAATAACGGATCAAAACAACGGAATTTAAAAGGAAAGAAAACTAAAACCAGCAATATGAAATATGAATTAATGTCTCTAACAAAATATAAATAACGGATAAAAAACAACGGAATTTGAAACGAAAGAAAAACCAAAACCAACCAAAATGAAATATGAATTAAGATTTCTAGCAAAAGATAAATCAGGAATAAAAAACAACGAAATTTACAACGAAAGAAAAACCAAAACCAACAAATATATATACAGCACAACAAATTATTCAATGTAAAATACTACAAGGCACAAGAAAAAAGCGACCTAAAATATTTGCTGCTTGCAAGATAATCTTGTGCAAATCTTGCGATCTTCGAGGTAATTAGCAACGCTACCGTTATATTTATATAGAGCGTAGCCTTAAAAATGCTTATCCGTCATGACTGTGACTGAAATAAAGAAATAAGTGTGTAGTGTCGAGCACAAATTTTAACTTCAACGACCTAGTACTCATAGACAAAATATGATAAAAGTGCCTTGCATCAGAAATTAATACCTTTACAGTAAAAAATTTGTCGATATAACTTTTTAACTTTGTTTTTATTTGCCGCTGGTAGCCCAGTCCAGTGTACCTGCTGCTGGTAGCCCCGCCCAGTGTACCGGTTGCTGGTAGCCCGGCCCAGCGTACCTGTTGCTGGTAGCCCCGCCCAGTGTACCTGCTGATGGTAGCCCCGCCCAGCGTACCTGCTGCTGGTAGCCTCGCCCAGTGTACCTGCTGCTGGCAGCCCCGCCCAGCGTACCTGCTGCTGGTAGCCCCTTGGTAGCCCCGCCCAGCGTACCTGCTGCTGTAGCCCCGCCCAGCGTACCTGCTGCTGGTAGCACAGCCCAGTGTACCTACTGCTGGTAGCCCCGCCCATCGTACCTGCTGATGGTAGCACAACCCAGTGTACCTGCTACTGGTAGCCCCACCCAGTGTACCTACAGCTGGTAGCCCCGCCCAGTGTACCTACAGCTGGTATCCCCGCCCAGTGTACCTGCTACTGGTAGCCCCGCCCATCGTACCTGCTGCTGGTAGCCCCGCCCAGTGTACCTGCTGCTGGTAGCCCAGGCTGCCGACAGCGGCGCCCGCTGCCTGATTAGCGGCCCCCGCAGCCGTGCCGCCATGGGACCCGCCGCCCACGATCCTGAGCTCAAAAACCGACGTGATCAAACAGGCAATCAGGAGAAATCACGATAAATGAGCTTTCTGTAATACACGGTATATTTTGACAAAATTAAGTTGCTGTCAATTCTTATATTTCAACCATATGAACATTTAAATTTTCTAAATTCTATTAAAAATGCACAAGTTGCGTCATGAACTGGATTTCACTTATCAGTCAAAATGACGATGAATCTTTTCAAACTTTCTGCAAAATTTTGAATGATTTCTTGTCGGAATATTGAGTTATTGGTATGTGTATTAGGTAGAAATCGTAATTTATAGAATTTGTCGGCACCCGAACTGAACCAGTTCAGTTCGAGTTCTCCCGTATTATTAATCTTTCAGTTGTACTATAATCTTAATCCGTGATTAGGTTATAGGTAAACATTCTAACGCCATTATTACTAACTAAGTTATTGTCTATGCAGAATCAATATTTTGACTCACGCAGTGGCGTGGCCGCCTCCCAGTCCTGAGTAGCCGCCTAGGCCGCCACCGTAACTCCCGATGAGGCCTCCGCGACGAACCTTGGTGCATTTACCCCGAATTACTCACAGAGGTAAAAGTTTTATTCATCATACTCAAAAAAATAATTCGTATCATTAGTATATAATGCGTCAAAAGGCAATGAATTAATTTGAGAAATTACAATTGTTGTAAGTTTCGTTTTCCTGAACTTTGATATGATTGTAATCTTTCTGGCTTCCGGAATGTCGCAGCAATGTATATTTCACTAATAGAGATAACGCTTCATTGTTATAAATTTTACAGCCATGCACCGAAACGAAGGTGAAAATTCAACTTGTTGTTAATTTCACCCGAAATATGATCTATCAAATTTTTTAATCGACCCACGACCATAAAAAGATCAAACAGAAGTTAAATGCAACCCACCCGTATCAAGGAGACCTGGGGAGATGACGCGTAATTCGGTTGCTCCTCAACTGCGCCATCTTCTTCGTTGAACAATCGTGAGATGGGATGACCTGCATATCAAGTAAGGGTATTAATTGATAAACACTAATTATTAAAAAGTACATAAGGTGATCCGAAATCGAGGGTCGTAATAGGAAATTACATGACATTTCATACGTTCAGTAATGCAACTGTTCAGAGAGAGCACAATTTTTATAAATTTTCCTGAATTATTCATTGTAATTTGTTGTTTAAAAGTCTAACAACCTAAATATTTCAAAATAATAAAAACTTTGCAGCCGGATAATTTTATCTGTGTTAAATTTTAAGAAACGTTGCTGACCCCACACGCTGGCAGCAGCGCAGGCCAGCAGGGTGAAGAGTAGCAGGCGGGAATGCATTTTATTTTGATGTTCGATGTATTTTGGACAGTTCAATTTCCGCTCAAGCCACCTGAAAATGAAAGAAAAGTGGAACGTATTGATCCGCCTTGAAAATTGTTATGTCCATCTCCATCACTGGAAAACAATGAACATGCACAATCGCTTTATTCAAGCACCCAATTACAGACTAGCTTCATTGACAGTATATGGCATGGTATGCATTAAAATTAGGAAATCAGAGACAAATTGAATTCAGTCATAATCACAAATTACTGCTTTTATTACGAAGGAACATAAGATTGGTATGCTCCAACCTTAGGCACAATACACTATTTCGCAGTTTAGAGCGATGACATAGTTTTTTAACGTGCTGTTAAATAGATTATTTGGCCATTTTGAGAAAACTTTTTAGTCTAATTAGAATTCCGTAGATTTTTACACTGATTGCATAAATTCACGATGACGTTATAAGTTATCAGCTATTTCCACAAATCCTTCCAAAACATGCACAAGTTACTTATGACTATAATTTGATTACTGAACTCTAGGTTGAGTTATTACCAAATAACTATTTAATGTTCAAATTTTTTGTTCCTGAAATATATTTGAAAATAATAAATTTTACTTCCGGGATTTTGAAGTTTTGGTTTCTTTCACATCAGATTGTGAGTGTTGATGCTCACCCGATGTTCCCAGTCTCAAAAGAGGAGCGCAGCGCTGTTGTCGCTCCGAGGTGCAGTTGTCGTATACAGCGGGGCGCACAAGTCGAGTTCTTATACGTTACGCCATTCCTTTCTTCATTCTTTCATCTGGCTCTTCTAAGCGTAGCAGAGCTTAAGATGTTCTGCGTCAGGTAAGGCTGACGCCTAGGTATGCGTATGATGAACGCGAAGCGTTTCGTCGATTAGGGAAATCGAAATCGACTCGTTGAGATGTCGCCTAAAATGGAAATCAACTCGTAGATATGTTGCCGAAAAAAATAAATCAATTCGTGTTGCCAAAAAAGAAAATAACTCGCAGATATGTCGCCCAAAAGGAAATTTACGCGTAGAGATGTCGCCTAAAAAGGAAATCGACTCGTACAGACGTCGCCTGAAAAGGAAATCAACTCGTAAATATGTCGTCGAAAAAAATAACTCGTAGCTATGATGCCTAAAGAGGAAATCGACTCGTACAGATGTTGCCTAAAAGGCAAATCGACACGTATAGATGTCGCCTAAAAAGGAAATCCAAGCGTAGAGGTGTCGCCTAAAAAGGAAATCCACGCGTAGAGATGTCGCCTAAAAAGGAAATCCACGCGTAGAGATGTCGCCTAAAAAGGAAATCCACGCGTAGAGATGTCGCTTAAAAAGGAAATCCACGAGTAGAGATGTCGCCTAAAAAGGAAATCCATGCGTAGAGATGTCTCCTAAAAAGGAAATCCACGCGTAGATATGTGGCCTAAAAAGGAAATCCACGGTTAGAGATGTCGCCTAAAAAGGAAATCCACGCGTAGATATGTCGCCTAAAAAGGAAATCCACGCGTAGAGATGTCGCCTAAAAAGGAAATCCACGCGTAGAGAAGTCGCCTAAAAAGGAAATCTACGCGTAGAGATGTCGCCTAAAAAGAAAATCCACGCGTAGAGAAGTCGCCTAAAAAAGAAATCCACGCGTAGAGAAGTCGCCTATAAATGAATTCGACGCGTAGAGATGTCGTCTAACAGGGAAATCGACTCGAAGAGATGTAGCCTAAAAAGGAAATGAAGCCGCAAAGAGATGAAAATATACAATGTAGGCACGAAGGGGATCCGAAAAGTTTTTGCTATCTGTGACGTTCGTTATAGCCAGGACTTAAAAAACAAAGAGGATTGATTGAACGAGAGCAGAGATCAATGGAATTTCATGTATTTCAATTTTTCAATGCACCGATACCAGTAAAATTCTTCCTCGAAGAAGATTTTAAATCCCAAATACACTCATAGTATTATCAGTAAAATTTTTATAATTTTCACTTTTTTAGCTATATCATTCAGTATTCTCTCCAAACATTTTATGATGAAAAGGAACTGCATTGTAATGTATATATTCTAGTTACCTCTAATACTCATAGGCTCGTTAATTTTTCATCTTCACATTGGAATTCAATACTTTAGAAATGCCTCATAGGGGCAACACTGAGCAGATTTAGCCCTCTCTAAAGTATGAGAAATCCTCTGTACATTTTATTCCAAGTGCAGTAATTGTGCTTCATTTCCGTGTTCTAGCTAAACAAAGTTATTCGAAGTGAAGGAGCCTTATAGATGATGCATGACTCGAGCTTGCTTTGATAGGAATGTACATGCGAGTGCAATTGAAAAATCAAGTTAGTGGGAACAGTAGAATCTCTTTGTTTTGAGTGATGCAAGATGTTTTCTATTGCCACTCTAAGTGAACGCACGCTACACTTGAGATATGTAACAGATGTGGAACAAACATCTTGAAAACTGAAATTCAACAAATGTTGCTTTTGAAACCAAACTTAGTAATGAGTCTTGCTGTCATTTATTTGGAAGCATTTACTCAACGGCAGGTAGAAGGCAAAGCGATGGTTGGGAAAATGCTCTTAAGAACAGGCATGTAGATCGTTGTAGGTGGGCGAAAGTGTCTCTTTACATCGAGTTTTGTTACACAAAAGGTCTCTGGGAAACGCTGTCCACCTTTTCTTTGGAAGTCACATGGCTTGTCACTCTCCATTTCCATACAGCCGAAAAATTACGATCGCTTCTCGGTATGTGTAAATTGGATTACTTTTACTCTCATTTCAGTTGATCAACACATCTCACGGAAAAAAAAATTTCAGGTTGAGATAGCGTCGGTGCGTCATATTTTGGAAACATTAATCTAATTTTTATTTATTGAGGCCTTATGAATTGTAATAACGGCCCTTAGTTGATGCACGCTGTCAAAACAAAAAGTCTACGTACTTCAGTTTCTTAAAGTGAAAATAAAGGAGCTCTGGATTACGCTTAATGAAGAGCCATATATTCCCTAGTTAAAATTTGAAATTAATATAGCAACAAATTACCTTTCCAAGAACATGAAATGACAAATGGTAAGTGAATATTTTTCCACGTCCATTATTTAAACAACAAGTCAATATAAATAAATATTTTATTCAGGTATTTAATAAGTCATATATGAATTGGTATTCAATAATAACTATTTTAAATTGCTAAATATGAGGTATATAGATTCCCTTTAACCGGAATTTAGTTTTGAATTCAATATTGATTTATGGGAAATAATGAAATAAATAATACTTCTCAGAATTATCAAATTTAAACATTGATTGCAACATTAATCCAAGTATGAAAAGGTTAACAAAATGTTGAATTGAATGCATAGAAGTGAAGGTGACTATTCAAAAACAGTTGTAAGAAAGTGCATGTGGGGTAAACAGGATACATATTCTATCCTAAAGATTAATTGAAATGACCATGGTGTTCTCGGTCAATATCTATATTTATACAGCTATACCAGTCTTACCAGTGGGTAGTACTCGTATTGGAATGTTGTTTGATATTTTGTTGCAGCTTGATGCCAATAGGAAGATGTTTTATAAGCACCAAATCCATTGTATATTTCCTTTTCCTTAAGCAACGAAAACTATTGCAGTTCGTTTAGTACATTGGCTTTTGTTACTAGAAATTAATTCCAACATAACAGAAAACATTGAACTATTCTTTATTATTAATAATAAAATTGTAGACCTCTGGTTGAACAATAGTTGATGAATTTTAAGTAAATTTATTAAGTAAAAGCAATTCAACCTGATAAATAAATGACATAATTGACGGAAAATGACATAATTATTGGCGAAACACTAATCAGTTCTCTCTGCAGAGTCACACAACTTAAAGCCTTCCAAAACTTCCGGGTAATATGAGTCAAGCATTCGACAGTATCATTCATTGTTTAAATAGAGCGGCGCTTTTCATATGCAGCGCGGCAATAAAGATATCTGCCGTGGCTGGGAGTCCGGAACCAAATTCCGCTGCGACGTTTCAGTGACCGCTTGCAGCCTATATAAAGGGAGCAGGAGGCAATACAGCCAAGTAGTTCACCGAGTCAAGTCATCATGACGACCCACGCTCTAGCTGCTCTCTTAGTTATCGGTGAGTGGCCAGGCAGTATATTGCAGTATAAAATAAAACTTGAGTGGTAGATCAACCGTTTTCTAATACATTAATCACAAAAATGTTCACTTGCTTTTGAATCAGGGTAATGGAAATAAATTTTATTTAAATTTTGTAGAGTTCTGTCCAGTCTTTGATATATTATGTTGCAAAATTAGCATAATTATTTCCATGCTACCGTTTCAGGCATCGCTTCTGCTCTTCCTGTCAAGGATCCTGAAAGCTTGAGGGTGGGTGCATATAGTGATCAAAATTCTACGTTAAATAAAAAGCAGAAAACTATATCCGTTTCCATGAAAAAATTGAAATTCGTTGCAAAATTTAGAATTTGTGCTTGTGACACCTTACAAAACCATAGAATAATGATATTTTATTCCGAATAAGGTTAAGCGAGGCTTCCTGAGTGGAGGAGGTGGCCTTGGTGGCGGCGGCTATGGCGGTGGCTTTGGTGGAGGTGGTGGCGGCTATGGCGGTGGAGCCGGTGGCTTTGGAGGAGGTGGTGGCGGCTATGGAGGAGGCGGTGGCTATGGAGGAGGCGGTGGAGGCTATGGTGGCGCAGGTCTTGCAGGTGGCGTTGGGGTTATTATTACCTCAGGAGTCGGTGGTGGTCATGGTCCGTCAGCGGGGGACATAGCAAACCAGGCGGCAGGTCAGGCGACCGCGGCAGTGGCATCACAGGATGGGGCGGCATGGGCGGCGGCGAACAGCGCCTCCCAGCACGTGGCGTCCCAGGCGTCGGCCGCCGCCCAACAGGCTCAGCATGCCGCCGCCGCCAAGTACGGACAAGCGGCACAGCTTACCAGCGCCGCGCAGGCTGCGCAGGCATCGGCGTTTGCAGAGTCAGCGCAGGCAGCCAAGTCAGCCAAGGCGGTAGCCGCTGCCGAGGCGGCCAAACAATGGGCCATCCAACAGGCGCAGAACTTGGCCCAGGCGACCGCGGCTGCCAAGGCACAGGCGGCTCAGGCGGCCCAGACATTGCAGGCGGCCCAGACAGCCTACAACAACCAGGCGACGATGGCATGGCAAGCCCAGCAGGCGGCTCACGCATTGGCCCAGCAGCAGAGCGTTGCACTCGCTGACCTGGACTCGGCCCAGGGCGCAGCAGCGCAGGCCACAGCGGCGGCTCAGAAAGCCCTGGCGCGAGCCAAAGGAACAGGGAATGGTGGATTCGGAGGCGCTGGTGGCTATGGAGGTGGTGGTGGCTATGGCAAGTAAGGCACGGAGATTATACTGTTGTATTTATTATCGTTAGCGAAAATGGATGTTGATCTGCGCCATGCATCTTGGATTCTATTGATGTTATTTCGTTCACTCTCCTCAATTTTATGTCTTGATGGCAAAGCAATCGCTAATATATTTAAGCCCGTTATTATCGTCGAAAACTGTTTTTGATTGTGAGGGTCAAATGTTTGGGGTCTACATAAAAATAAAGCAATTGCTCCATTGCACATTTCAATAAGAGTGTTTATCCTCCTAGCCTTGTCTTTGCAACTATTTGCAATCAGTTCTCATCGCTTCACTTGTTGTATCTAATTTTAATTTCACTTGTCCTAGAATGCCCTGCGGTGAAAAACGATATCTTACGAAGCATAGGGTGAACAGAAACAATAAAACGAATTGTTAGAGAATTTATTCATTACCCTATCAATACAAATCACCATCAAATAATTGTATTTATAGGTGGATTAACATAACATCCTCATGAAGAGATTGTGATACAGAAATTGATTTTACATACTACATTTTACTACAGCGCAAACATCGAGTCTAGTTCATCTTTTTTTCTGACTACCTATGAGAGAGGGCATTCTCATAGTAACTTCTAGCAACATTATATAAATTTAAGCTCCGGATCTGCAATTGTCATGTTTAGTTCCGCTAATTCACGATGACTATTGAGGGACTGAAGATGCCTGAGCAATTTTCGAATAACTGCACCCGTTATATCTCAGCGCATCATTGCAGTTATTTATGAACAAAGTATTATTTTCTTCAATCAGAAGTTGAAATATACATTGTTCATCGTCACGTAGACTTAGAACGAAGACGTCCTTAGTTCTCAAGAACGCTATGTACAATATTTATGAATTGCAGAAAGGAGACTGGTTCTGTCTAAATTGGGCAATAGGCTAGAGAGATGACCGAATGTTTTGAGCATTTGTAAGAGGAGAAGCGGAATGAATTATATTAGAATTTAGCATATATCCGATAAGCAAACACAGCAATCTATCGCGTTTGGAATTCAGCCGTAGACCGAAAAATTACCTCTTTCGGTTGCAAGTATGTTACCTAAATTAAAATCTAAACCCAGAACTGCGACCATTACAAATGTTTGCCAAAGGGAAGATGAATCAGATAACTCTAAACGTTTGAAGTTGAGCAGTTATAACATTTAAAGCTGCTCAGATAATGCGCTCGAGCCTTAATTTGCAGTCATAATTATGTGGTACTGCCACGCTATACTGCAGCAGTAGCAGGTACTGCCACACTACTGCAGCAGTAGGAGGTACTGCCACACTACTGCAGCAGTAGGAGGTACTGCCACACTACTGCAGTTGGAAGTCTAGTAGCTTCTTCAAACTATCGCCAGTCATGAAAAGATCCGGTCAAATGACACGAGTTTAGATCTATGAACAAGGCACGAAATGGAATAAGAATCGGCGACAGGCCACATCAGGCCTATACTTCAGAGCCGACATCACTATGTTATGTTATGTTATGTTATGTTATTATATTTTCAGCTTGAAATGTTGAACCAAGATCAAATGTGGCTTCCTTGAAGACTTGAAACGATCAGAAAATGGTAAACGCTAAAAATGATGGTGAGAATTTCATGTTAATTGTATTGGGATGCGATAAGAATGTTCTATGAATGCTATTGGATTGCTTTTCGAATGCTAAGAATGCTGTAAGAATGTCAATGCTAAAATAATGCTAGAAGAATGTTATTAGAGCGCTACGAGAATGTTACATGAATGGTTTACTCACATCTGAGAGGAGGAGAGGCGTCGTGAAGAGAGACACGACGGTCTTGACGGTATTGCCGAGGTAGCGGCTACTCAGCGTGAACCGTGACACCAGCCAATCCCACTCCGATCTGCGCACATTTCAAGGCAATGAATTTCCATTGTACTTTAATGCCCTGTTTCCAAAATAATTGAATAATTTTGATATCAAGCACTATTTTCAAAATTTCTAAGATGTTATGAAACCTAATAATAGCATAGCGACACGATAATTGAGAGTTAATCAAACAAATAATGTGAAGTGATCTAAGTTACAAAATTTAGTATTGTGGATTGATCAAAACAGAAGCAAATTAGTTTTTTCAATAAATCGAAAAATATATATTGCTTGAATTGGGAGATCGAAAACCAGGTTACAGAAAAAACACTTCAAACTTGTTAACAACGTTTCGAATGTATCAACCTGTTTAAAGGAACAAATTCTGGCATCGTATACTTATATCATTAGAAGGTATGCATTAATTATACTAAAGATATAACGCAGCCTGACTTGATGAAGCTCCAGACGATGTCTGTAGCCGCAGGGTTGGCAGCGAGCTGGCCGAGGCTGCTCAAGTAGTCTTGGGTCCTCACGACGCTCGCGTTGCGTGTTGCGTCCAGGAATCTGAACACTCACAAGTCAGCCTTCAACTCAGGCGCAAAAATTTTTAGACTTGAACTATGAATAATTAAAACTATAATAAAATATCAAAGTATACTTTGATACCATAATCGCTCTTGCCAGAAATAGCATTCTCATCTGGTACCATTATTCCCGAAAACGTTTGCAAAGCTCTATGCGATTTTCATTCTTTATGCTTGATTAAAAAAATTACAAATTTTTCTATCGCAATATAAGCCAACATCAATGGACAAAAGCTAAAATCTGACAAAATAAAAATAAAGTAATACAAATACAGTATTTCTTCAGGTACATCACGTGTACAAGATTTAATGAATACAACAGTATAATTTATATATTGAAGCATTCTAAACACGACTAGAGCTAGACTGAATTTCTTATTAAAGCAGATTAAGCACCTGTGAATTATCCAGCGCCTGTTGACGTTGGTTAATCCGGCTATAAGTTTACTCTTCTCCTGGGCGTTGAGTTCTTTGGCATATCGCTCCAACATCAGCTCCCAGTCACTGTAGCCTGCAAGTGGTCAAACGAGGGAGTTACAACTTCTTTCTAACAGATAACGAGGTATCATCGAGTTGAGATCTTTCTAACAGATAACGAGGTATCATCGAGTTGAGATCTTTCCAACAGATCACTAGGTATCATCGGAGTTGAGATCTAACAGATCACGGGACATCATCGAGTTGTGATCTTTCTAACAGATAACGTAAATTCATCGAGTTTTAATTTTTCTAATAGGTTGCGAGGCTTCATGCAATCTGTATTTACAGACATGCTGTTAAATTATCGTCTATACTCGTAAAATGCAATATCAGCCCCCGCTCACCAGCATTTTTCATGCCGTACTTGTAGACGACTGTACGTAGGTTGGGCGGCAGACTGTGGGATGGATCGAGTAGCCATTCTTTTAGTTTGGTCTCCGCCGCACTCAGACACCACGCGCTGCCGCTCTGGCATGCGAGCGCCAGCAATACTGGCCGCAAGCGTCTGAAAAATACCGAATCTTGGGCGATTACCACTTCGATTGGTAACCATGTCGCACTATGCCACTCACACACGCTATTGGTATATCGATATGAATGGCGTTATTGTTTCTCATCAATTATTTTCCGGTCATAACTTAAGTATACAGTTTTTTCATTTTATTTAACAGAATAAAAATTTACGATATGAAGTGCCCACAAGCGTGGAAGCCTCATTTTGCCGGTCTCTGAACAAAGAACTAAAATTATATTTATCGAATGATAGACTTTACCCTACCGGCATCAATTGTTGTACATATCTTCCATGCCGCCAAACTTCCATGATTATAAGTTATTAACTAATTTAAAACAAAGTAGTGATTACCGCTTAAGGTGGTTGCCAGAGTCTTCCCAGCCGTGTGCCCGGGCGTGCGATTCTACCAGCTTCAGCACGTAGTTCTACCCAGAGCATCAGTTAGTTGGCTATCATTACTTGTCACAAATTGTATATTACGGCAATAAATTAACAGCCGTCATCCTGTAGGTAAATATGCATTGCTAGGGATGCATCAACACCGAATCACAATTTAAGTATCTTCAAACTTGTATTAAATATCCGTAAAAACTGCCAAATGTTTATTATGCATCTCTAAATTTAGGAACAAAACAACATTTCATCAAAAAGATCATTTCAACTAGCAAATTTATGGTACCTTGTACAGAGGATAAGCCTTGGTGTTCCTCAGGAGCCTGTCGAGCGCGGAGAGATGCGATGTCACAGTCCGCCAGGGGATGTAGTGCGTCTCCTTGTCGAGGTAAGAGCACAACCGCAGCGCCACTGAATACTCAAGTTGGTTGGCTGCTGCCAGACTGAACGCGTCATCCAGTAAGCTTGAACGATCCGGAGGACTCAGTGCCTTTATATAAAAATATTAGTCAAGATTTTGCTTACATGGAAGCTTTTGCTTTACGGCAGGCGTGTGGCGTTCTCATTTAAAAAGAGACATCGTGACCTCTAATATACTACTTGCATGTATTTTTCTCATCGTTAAGGTTCACACGTTTGTGATAATTTCAATTATCTAGAAAATTATTTCGTTATTATCTTGAGAAGCATAAGTTTTAATGATTTGCGCAGTAATACACGAACTGAACTGACATTGGAGCGTGTAATAATTTCTGTCCACTCATTTCCATTTTAATTCTGGCTGAATCTAAAATCTTATTGCCTATATTGAAAGTCCACTGCACTGATTTTCATTTCCTCTATCCCTAAAAATACGATGGCGCAGCGTGACGAAAATTTTTCAAACCTCGTGGTTGTTTTGAAGAAGGTTGACGAGTTCATTCCACATCGCCGCGTCATAGTTGACGCGGTAGAAACCGTACTGATCCACGTTGATCTTCACCCAGGGACTAGCACCAGGGACCTCAAGCGTCACTTTAAAAATCATTAAATGCACTGAGGCAAAGATTCACAAACTACGGTGGCACATCTCTCGGTTGGGGCATAGCGAGTGTGACCGATATGCGGGAGGAATTTTGTATTAAATTTTTATCTTAAATACTTTTTTGTGATGAAAATAAAGATAATTGCAAAAGCCGGGCAACACGGTTCAAGCGCTTTACAGGACACAGCTGGAGTCGGAGCGTAGGGATCAGACACCCTTTCGGTATGTCTTTTTTTGTCTCTTATCACAATAGAATATCACGTATCTTGTATTACATCCGTGACAATTATTATACGAATTAACAACTTTACTCCATCATTTTTTTTCCTGTTGCGCTATTTCTTCCGGTACCTTCCTCGACAAGTCTAGCTGTCCCGTATCATACATTGCAACGATTCCATGCAGAGGTTTATCAATGTTACTCCTAGGCCGCATTATGCACATTTAAATGTTGTAATGATTTTTTTTCGATTCATTCACAAAATTTATCTATACCATAAGTTCTTTAGGCATATAATACAGTTGCTCGCTGTTAATGCGTGTACAAACCCACTGTTACCTGTGTTGAACACAGTCAACCATTGTTTTCGATAGTTTAAAATGAAGTGGTGTTTTGTCGAAACTACTGATTCTATTTGTACAAACATCATAATTATCAATAATGGTAGAAAGATAATAATAGAAACATTTTCGAACTATTTGTGTTTAATATGAGTAAAATCGTGCACTCACACGATGGCATGTCCCTGTAGAGCCACTGCAGCTGGCGCTCAGCGCCCTCCGCCTTGTACGTGACCGGAACGTCCCACTTGTATCCGTAAGGCGAATCATCTCCACTGACGGCGCTGGGGTCTTGCAGGAACCGAGATTGCTGGACCTTCAGCTCTGACTGTGTAACCAGGATAATAGCTACTTTATTATGATCAACTGCTCATTTAACGGTCATTGAGCAATCGTTATAGGTTATATACTGTTTATCTTAACATTTTTAGAATATTCATTTGTTAGTTTCAAAATTGAAAATAAAGCATGGGTTTAATAGGGAACGCCTATAATTGCGTTTACGCTTCTCAAATATTATCACTTTTATCATGCCGATAAAGCAGTTATTTGATTTTCCTGGAGTGTTTGTCTTATCTGGATGACTAGACGAAGTTACTAACCGTAATGAAATTTATAACTCAACTATAAAGAGTTCTCAAGAAGTTTACCGGCGAGGTTCTGTTGACCATGAGGACAGGGTATCCCATTTGTTTGGTCCAGGTATCCATGATTGCGCTGATGTCGAGTGATGACTGCTGAGCCAAGTGCCGCCAGAGGTCGCTAGTGACTGCGTTGGCGTATTTGTACTGCCGCAGGAAGTTCCAGACTCCAACTCTGAACTGCTCCTCACCCATGAAATTGTCCAGCATGCGTAACACTGATGCTCCCTGAGAAAGTTTAAAATATTTAGATTTTAGAACAAATAAAGCATCAATCGCATGAAATGTGATCGTTTTGATGTGAATGATGGCTAGTGATTTCAGCTGTCGAAGATCAAAAATTCAGAAGTGCCAAGATGAACGATAACGTGTGGTGACTCTCACTTTGCTGTATGAGATGGCATCAAAGATTTCGGTAATCTGATTCGGATGCGCCACAGGTTGAATGATAGGATGAGATGAGAGCTTCGCATCCAACTTGAACACTGGCTGGAGGTCATCCACTACGAACTGACCGAGCTGAAAAAATTCAACTTAATATTAATCCGCATTTGATGAACATTTCATAATAACCCAGTCCAAATGCGGCCTGTTTTATTTAGCCAAATCTATTCCCTCAGGAGCGAGAAAACACATTTTCGCATGATTTGCTTATTTTAATTGCTGCTTGCAATTCGAAACACAATATTAATAAGACATATTTTCTAAATAATTTTTGTGAATTCGTCCGCAAAACAGTCGACGTCGTAAAATTAAAGATTTTAACTTTATACAGCGACATTGCAAAATATTTGCATTACATAATATCAAATTCTTAGATGTAAATAAATTGAAGTATTTATACACTGGCAATGTACCATATCCCAGTCTTGATGGTACTGCGCTACTCCCTTGTATTCCACGTAGCTAGCGAAGCCTTCGTTGAGCCAGAGGTCATCCCACCACTTCAGTGTCACTGAGGGAAAAGAGCATCCTTTTTTGAGGAAAAGAGCGTTTGAGGGAAAAGAGCATGCTTTTGGAAGGCATATTAAATGTATGAGAATGAGCCATCAGTTATGTAGAGAATGTAAATTGAGTAAATGTGGAGTGGATAGAAAAACGAGGAAGATATACCTAACATTTAGAAGGTGGAAGGCATGAAAACGAACACCCTCAGTTACATAGAGAATATGAGTTGAGTAAATGTTGAAGGATAGAATCTTAATTAAATAATACTTATTATCTAACAGGAAGTAGAGCAGTTTCAAGGTTGATTTTACTTATAATGTTGCAGTTAGAATTGCTTAACTGATATTTTACCAAGTCATTATTATTCTAGTTAAGTTTTGAAAGATTCGTGTAAGTAGTTGTGACTTTTTTTATCCATAAAGGTTGTTCTTGTTTTCTTTATTTTATAAACTGGTGATAGAGCTGGTCTCCGGAACGTTTTCAATGAATATGAGGTGACATTATTTGGCGTTTTCTTTGCTTTTAAATTTATGGTGAACTTGCTTTTTACGTTGGCTACTTAATGAAATAAGTTTCTATTTTATTGTTCTGGTTGAAACGATGCCTTATTATCGCTGTAAGAACCAAATGTAAGAAAACATATGATTTCTTATTAGCATCATTATCTCGTAAAATGTAGAGCGCAACGATAGATTTCCCTAAAAGCACGCAAAATCCCGTTCCTTCATTTAATTTTTATCTCACACGTATAAGCACACAGTGGCAGTCATACAGAGGTTGCAAATATCTTACTATTTATTTAATGGTTAGCGCTTGCTGGGAGACATACAATGGCAGTATTACGGAGGTTGCAAATACCATACCTACTTTTTACTTAATAGTTAACGCTCGCTTTGAGTCATATACAATAGATGTCTTACAGAGATTGCCAAATTACATGTAACTTATTTAATAGCTAGCTCTGACGTTGAGGCATCCAGTAGCAGTCTTACAGAGGTTGTCAAATCACATGTAATTCATTTAATTAATAGCCAGCCCTCACGTTGAGGCATACAGTAGCAGTCTTACTGAGGTTGCCAAATCACATGTATCTCATTCAATAGCTAGCCCACGTTGAGGCATACAGTATATACAGTCTTACTGAGGTTGCCGAACCACATGTGCGCAAGCTCGTGACTGACGACGGAGGCGACGCGTTGTTGGTTGTAGGACGAGGAACCGACCTCGTCGTACAGCAGGTTCGTCTCCCTGTAGGTGATGAGCCCCCAGTGCTCCATCGCTCCCGATACGAAGTCCGGGATCGCGATCATGTCTGAAAGAGTTTACGAACCTTCGTGATATGAACATGGGTTGCGGATCATTGTGTCCGGAAGAGCGGCGGTAACTGCCGTGGGAATGATTCATTAACGATGAACTGAAAGGAATGCGAAGACAAGAATCCGAGAGCGTTGGAAAATATAATTTGTGATATTTAAAACTCCGGATTTGCGATTAATGATACATTCATATCGTGGTTTTACAGAATTAAATAACTAAGTTTACAATGTCAGTCGTGTAATATAAGCGTTGGAAGGTTGATATGAGCAGAGATACAATTTATCCGCTCTTCTGGCCGAACAAATAGATTGGTATGCACAGTCATGGCTATAAGAAACTAACCTTGTTTCGGCAGCGGGTACTCCACTTCAAAATAATTTTCGAAATAGTTGAGGATGCTGACCCCGATGTCTCTGGCGTAGTGCGTTCTCTCGATCTTGCATGGTAGTAAACATTAGAATATAAGGGTATATTTTTTATTTACCATTAGTATTGTATAGTAATGGTTCTTTGAAACTAACACGCATGCACCACAAACGCATGCATGCAGCCTGCTCTTGCTTCTAAGATCTAAACATTGCGATTTTTAATTACAGCATATATGTGTTATGCATAAAAATATAATTTTACAGGATAGCCATCAATACCTGATCAGGAGTCGAGTAGACCCTGAAGAGTTTGTTTTCTTGAGTCTTCGTCTCGACGTACTCGAAGTCACAGACGATGAAGCAGACCAGGTATGTTACCATCGGGACGGATTTCTGGAACGTCACTTCCGTGAGGCCTCGCAGAGGCGCGTTTGCAACCTGGCCCTATGGCATCAGAATAGCTTTATGTGATTACAAAACACAATGTTAGGTACCTATACATATTATTATAAATTCAAATCATGTCACACAACAACAATAATACACAACATTAATAATACCCTACCTGTTCCGGCATGTTCAATTATAACATGTACCCTACCTGTTGCGGCATGTTCAATTATAACATGTACCCTACCTTTTCCGGCATGTTCAATTATAGCATATGTACCCTACCTGTTCCAGCATGTTAAATTATAACATGTACCCTACCTGTTCCGGCATGTTCAATTATAACATGTACCCTACCTGTTCCGGCATTCCTACCTGTTCCAGCATGTTAAATTATAACATGTAACCTACCTGCTCCGGCATGTTCGAGAGCGCCGTGTAGCCCTGCGTCGGCCTCACTATGGTCAGGCTGAAGGTGCTCTTGAAAGAAGGCTCGTCGAAGCACGGGAAGGCCGCCCTGGCGTCCGTAGGCTGGAATTTCGACGTCGCGATAGACCTGCGCAAGCATGGAGCAGTTTAGTTTAATACGAGCATATATTGCCAGCATGGAGTACTCTACTGCACTGTCCACTAACAACGTCCATACTAAAAAGAAAATTATTATCATTGTTTATAGCTTCTGAAGAAAAGAAGAAGCATAGCTAATAGTTTCATACATTGAAAATAAAGTGAAATACTTTTCGTTTTTAATGATAACAAATAAGAAATTAGGTTAAATGATCAAACTTCCTCTCAGTTCGTTTGGCCTTTAATGGAATCTGTTAAAAAAAATTGCATTTAAGAGGATTATTTATGCCATTTAAGAGGAGCATTTCGAGCAATTACTAGGAGTCATATTTAATCCAAGAAGCTCGTGAAAGCATAATTAATTAAATACCAATGAATATGTATCATGTAGGTTGCGAATCTAACTATTATTATTGGCGGTGAGCACGGGGCAATATAACTAACAATGTACCGCATGTGAAACGTGTAGCAGAGCCGACTGCTTTACGAGAGCTTATACGTATAGTTGTTGGTCGTCATAGCGTGTAGCTACAAGGACCGGTGTAGGCTCGGCAGGTTCCTTAGAAGTCAATGCTATATTGGCCTTGAGATAGTAGAGGACCTTACATTTTTAACCCGGCCTTCTTTTCGCGGCCAACCTTCAAACATAAATATATCACTAACAATTTTTCCTAATCATTTAACATTCACCCATTGATTAATATCAGACTTTCTATCTGGCTTGTTCGATTGAAAATGAAGTTTCTGCGATTATTTCAGTTTCTCGAATTGAGTCGAGAAATTGTTTGCTTTCTACTGCATTCCAGAGTTGTATGTCTATCCGAGCCAAACCAAACATGGAAATATTTTGTAATGTAATATGTACATATGGAAGAAACTTTACGCATTCGTTGTAATTTGTTGTTGAATGTTGTAATTTGCTCTATGATACTTCGACTTATTAAACGCTCATATTAAATGTTCCATTTGTGTGCATTTAAACCTTGTCTAAGCTACTGGCAGGCATTTGATAAGGTCCCTCTGCCGTTCAAACGCAAAGAATTAAATATTTGACACGTGTTTCTTTTTCTACGATCCTTTTCTTAAAATGTACAGGCGACATCCTGCCAGCTGTCTTTGTTACGCAGAATTTTTATGTTTTAAGTGCAACCTCAGGAACTTTTGTGTTATACTACAATAGGTTTCGATATTATAGTACCTTTCCAAACTGATTCTTAGAAGCCAAGTTTAATAAAAGTTTTAAATAAAAGTTATTGCTCCGAATCCTCCAAAATTTCCTTTCTCTTCACATATAGTCCTCCATAAAATATGTACCTATTGTATTGTTCTGTAGTTAAGGTTATCTTTAATTCGATTATTTATTCCTTTCTTGAATTTCCAAGTTGTTTTACAACATCTACTTTTCATGTTACGTCTCAATCAAAATAAATCTTAGTTATGGCTCAAATAATAATAGAATTTACCTACCAACTTAAAGAGCCTAGTGATGAATTGGCTGGTGCAAAATAACCAGGAAAATTGTATTCATTTTCTGTAGACAGCTCCTGCCAGGTAACGGTTCCTAAATTTTTCCTAATTAACCGAAGATCAACCTGCTCGACACAACTTCAGTTTCGCAGCGAAGTCGTTTTCATCGTTATAGATTTTGAAGTACCCATCTTTGAATCATTCTCAAGTAATTCAATTCAATGCCATTTCTCACAATAGCGTATACGTCATTGACACCTCTCGCTTCGCTGTATAGCGTTTATTGTTATATTGCTCGGCCGCTCTTGTTACATCGTCAGAGCTGCATTATAGAGCACAAAATCTTGAAGTTGACATCAAAATACAAATGTACATATTGGCGACATACTCCCGTCAGGTTTACTGACAATTAATATCTTGTAATACAAATATTGTCTGTACTATTTTGTACAACAAATCAAATGGATAAATCTCATGAGGTTAGTAATGAAACTATCATTCATGTGACAGATGTAGGTCACCTGCCAACCCTAAATTCTGTTAATTATAATGACGTTATGATTATTTTAAAGAAGATGTAACATTAATTCGTCAAAGATATAAATAGATTTATCTAACGTTTTTTCATAATTTTCATATCTCTACTAATTCAGTAATCTTCGAATAAAGATTGTGGGGAGAAGCAAAGGCAGCAAGTGTGGAGCTACCGCAGCTTGCGGCTCTCTCTCGAGCAACAGAGTCGAGGTTCGTCCGACACAAATTACCGACAAAGGCGCGCCACTTAACTTGGGTTTGCCAAACACACCCGCCTTCGCAGTAGAGTTGAGCTAAAATTTGTTCTAACAGAATAAACAAAATAGAAATTTCATTCAAATTTATTTTTAAAGTTTATTCCGAAGTTATTCATTGATAGTATTGAAACGTGACTTTACAAAACAAGTGGTTGTTTCTGCAGGAGCCATTTAATCTGAAGAACATTCTGTTTCCGACAATTCGATGTGTATCTTTGTAAGAAATGTTAACAACTTTTAAATGTTGCGTGCAACTTTTGGCCTCATCTAAGCTTTTTATAAGTAAATAACCGTTCTTCTTAATATTTTCGGCGACTACCAACCAATTTGATGACGCGGCTTTTGGTTAGTTGATGCTCTTGCTATAAAACCGAAATGCCACACACGATGAATAATTCTACCATTTGTCCTTAATGCTAATCCTTGTTCAGTAAAAAACACAGTAAAAAACATAATCTCAGCCTCTATAGATTCATTCAGAAATTGTCATGTAGATGGATCAATGCATGAGCATAGGTTATGTGGAGGCATGCATGACACGCTGCTTACAATGGCCTGAGTATTTGAAAGAAGAATAATCAATCACGAAAAATATAAAACCACTCGAGCCCCAACAACCTTCAATGTGTAATAATATAAGACCAGTAAAATTTCGAGTGTATTCGACTCATTTTGCAGTTCTGAAATTGCATGAATATATGTTCATTTCATTTTAGAGTTAACACCCTGATATGCTTATAATATTTCATTAAGCGTCTGGAGAGTTGCCTTCTGAATGTGAAATATGAGTGAAATATTCAAGTTAACCAATCATGCATACTGAATGATTCCATAAATCCTAAAACCTGCAATGCATCATTCAATCACTTATATAAAATGGTTAATCATTTGATGCCTTGTATTCAGTGAATTTACCAGTAGAACGTTAAAGAAATTATATTATAGCGTTTCTAATAAAGTTAAAAAACCGATCGATAAGTAATTTAAACTGAACTCCAACCACGTTTTGGAACTAATCGGAACGAGCTAGTAAACACATGTCGCAGTCTTCGAATATTGTGCCTGTCGCCGGTGTCGAGCCTGAGGCCCAATGGACAGGTTTTGCACTGAGTCCTTTCACCCGCCGCGCAAAGGTCCTTCTATGCAGCACTGCAGAGAGGCTGTAAGCCTTCACAGTCAGCAGCTGAGAACCCAACGCTCAAGTTATTCTATGTAATATCTTCTATAACTAATTGATGAACATTTGTCTTCTGAATAAGTATTGATTTTGTATTAGCTACTTATTTTGGCGGAAAAAAGTTTATTTACGCAACCTGTTGTTGATGAGGTCGGATCGTATAATCGTACTTATTAATTAATCTTAGGTCGTATCGCATAATCGTTAAATATTCAGTGACAAAATAGGAATAATGCTCACCTCTTTATCCCAGCTTTGGTGGTGTAGATACTTTTGTAAAAGCCCACAATTTTGTTTTCCAAACTTCCATCGAATTCGAGCTCCATGCTATAGTTGCCGGGCTTCAAAGCAACTCTGGGGCGCATCACCCAAAACTGATTGGGTTCGTACCCAAAGTAGTCCAAGAGATCAACCTCATCACTCGACTCAGCTGACCTTAGTTTGGTCAGAGTGATGTTCATGTCTCTGAAGTGTGTCACCAAGAATGTCATGGATGAAGTAACTCCAACCAGAATGGTCACTTTTCCCGTAAATTTGCCACTTTCCAAATCAGGATGAAGATAAAGATCGTAATGGTATGGAATAGTGCTGACTGGAATCCTGTACTCCAACTCCCATGGCTGGGTACTTCTGTCGGGTTCTTCGGACACCGTAACATCGTCGGTGGTTAATTTTTCTGGAACGACCGTCTCAGTAAATGTTGTTTCAATCTCTGATTTATCGCTAAAACTGTACACCGCCAAGCCAACGATGGCACAGCTCAACACCATCACGAGAAATATAAAAAAGGCCGTAGTGCGTCTCACGAAAAACTCCGCCATGGCTGAAACGTATTTGGATCAGTTTAATGGCAGTCAAGAGGCACGACGAGATAAACGTCGGCAAAAAATTTTGACACTTATCCTATAAAAAATACATTAGTGTTTCTCCCAATGACCTGAAAATAAATAAGAATTAAATATGGGAGATGATAGAACATTTTATTTAATGCAAAAAATTAAGCGCCCAATTGAATCCAATCCAACTGGCTTGATTGGGGTTAAAAGCAGCCAGTTTGATTGAACGCAACCTGTTTGCAAAATGCAACATGCTGGTTGAAACGCGACCGATTGTTCACTTTCAATCACTGTGTTACTGCATGATTTGTTACTGTCTTACTGAAAATGTAAACAATTGACTAGAAACACTACCTGTGTGTATTCCACTTTAAACGGTGACACGTAACAGGAAGCTATCGGATTCATCGAACGTCACAGACACAAAGTTGCACGTCATGCTCATGCTACATATATTCATTCAAATATTTATTATATTGAAGTTAAGAATGCATCCAAGGAAAATATTTACTTATTTTCATAATCTTGATTATCGAACAGGAAAACACGGTAAAGCTGCCTCTAACGTTTAGTCTGTGACATATTTTGGGTGATGATCGAAACAAGGAAGAAGTCGGAGGAAATTGTCAGAAAATTCATTTATAAACTCAGTTAAGTACAGACGAATGTACAAAACCGCTGCGACTTAACAAAACAAATGATAAAAAGATCTAAAAAAAATTGTTTTAACGATTAAATTTTGTTGTTTTTTTCGAGACGGTGCCATTTAAACAAAATTGAGTATAAATCAAGAAATTTCTAGCGGTCGATACTATCTCAACTTTTCCGACAATATGGAGCACAAAAGTTATACGGCGAGCTCACGTACGCCGACGAGCATGAACAACAGACAATGGTTCTATGGCCCAGCGCCAACGATTCATTAACCTTTGTTTGTATGTAACACAACCAACCCAGAATATTTCCAACAGAAGTAATACCATGATAATATCTCAGATATCAGGAAATGTTATTCGACGCGTACCTCATAAATCACATTTTTATTGTAATTCATTTTCGTTTTGCCAGTGATCGAGTACTCGACGGTATTTTTGCGACCAATATACTATGATGACAGTTCAATAGCCGGAAATGAGACAGATTCACATGCCATTGAAGGGAGGTATTGCACGCTGTGTGACAGTATAGCCGGCACCTAGACAAAGCAAAACAGCATTCTAATCACCAAACAGACCACCACACAGCATGTAATTAGAAGATTCACTTGATATACCTCTAGCAGAAGCACAATGGCCAAAACTCGTATACACGGTCGTTTAAAAAATCCGAATAAAGCTGCGCAATGGCGATTGTAACATTGCTTTACCGTCAAAGCTTATTTCGGTTGTTCAGGTGATTCTAGTAAACTGAGTATCAACGTTTTTTTTACAATCATTGAAAGTTTCCAAATTCGGATACTGTGCATAATGATTAAGGTTATTTATTGAGTGTCGATGCAAATATTAATTAAACTACAATAAAAAATGTCAAACGCTTTTCGCATGAGCAGAAGGCATAATTAAGAATCAAATCGCTCGTTTGTAGGACAAAGTTTTTTTCGCGTTGACATTCCTGGCTTGCCACGCCACTTTGTTTCCCCATGCTTTCTATGTATTGTGCCGCTTGGCAAATGTAGAGCCCAGATGCACATTTTTTATCGCAAAGCAAAAAATAACACCAAACTTCTTCTATTATACAATAAAATCTCTTTTAGCTTCGCATGAATCCTTGTCTGAATAATTTTCTCATTGACTGAGGGTCATGAGGGACATACAACAGCTTGGAAACAAGCCACGCAAAAATATAACGGTACAGGACCTTCGCTGGGAGTGGCGACCTGAGTGTAGCTGAGGAGGCAGCGTTCGAGGCTCACGACATCCTCCATTATAAGATTCATCTCCGCATACGTCATCGTAAATATTATCGGTGACATTAAGCTTTTAAGCGATTGCAAATAAAAAAAATCGTGATCGCTGCTTTGAGTGTAAGGATAGCGCGAATTATACTGTGGCGTTATTTATAAGCTAATTTAAGAAACATTTATTTGTTACTATCCATAGTATGCAAAATTTCATCTGATTTCAATTGTCATGGATAATTTACAGAAACGAAAAATTTAAAATCGATGTACTTTACTCTATCATGGATAAATCACCATCAATATAAACATCTGGTACTACAAATACTGAAGTAGAGTCCCCAGCTTGATTTTTTCCATATTGAAAATAAAAATGTTGCAGGATGAATCCATAGTACGTTTGCAATCATGTCAACCAAAAGCACGATATGCTCCCACGCTAGATTTTAACGGATCAAGATTACAGATTTACACTTTGAATTTCCAATCTAATGAAGAAAGACTGCGTGCACAAACATCAGATGAGCGTCTAAGATCACGTGATAGTTTCTTAAAAGTTTGGTGAGCACTAACCACACTGAGCAAACTCCGACGCGCTACTGTGGACGACAGGCACAGGTAGAGGCACAGTTTCAACTGCTATGCGTGCTATGGCCATGGTTTAACAGCGCAGAACAATCAACTTATCTGATACAATTGGCTGCCGGTTTGCTGGCAAGTTTAAACACAAATTAATCCGCACTATATCGCCTGCAAGCTTTGTATAAAACTCCAATCCAATATATCAAATTTATAGCTCAATAATATTTGTTGAACAATATGAAAAGTGATAAATGGGTACCATCAGAGTTATATTAAAAAAATGCAGAAGATTTTACTTCAAGATTGGGGAAATGATAGCAATTCTACATTCACGTGTAAACTGAAGAGCAAGTTTGCTGGCTAAGAAATTCAATACGATATACTTGAATGCTATTCAGTACGTGTGATATAATTTCCAGCAAATCAACTTAGATACTCTTTTACATTTTTTTGAGTACCAGATCAGGTTCATGCGATTCAAATTGGTTTACTATCATGATAATGAGCAGAAATTAATATTCTCATTGAATTGAAATGCGGATTGAAATTTTCATAAGCCTAATAAAATCAATTAAGGCTCCACTCTTTTCGGCTTTTTATACGCCACATAAATAATAGTTTCTATTGACTTTCTTTGCCCTGATCACAACGCTACTAGTGCACTCACCATTATTTTACTCTAATAGCGAAAGAAAGGTAAAGAATGCGGCTACAATGACATATGATATATGGTAACAAAAATGTAACATGTAACAAAACCCTCGTTTTTAAACGCTTCACTTAGCTTAATACGTGCATTGGAAAAATTATTCTCCTACAGAATGTTGAATGATAATTCAATTGCGATGCTTTAGCTTCGCCATTATACCTCATCAAGCATGTGATTTCTGGATCGAACATTTGAAATTGTTGAAATCGAAATAGAAAGTACAAATACTTGGATAACTTAGTTACCTAAAAAAAACAAATTAACCACAAAAAATTATACAAGATCAAGCAATTGAATAGGATATGAGCATTAATACGTAGTTTCTTTCCGATTTTCATTCACGCTATGCAGTCTCAATATGAATTTTACGCTTTGCATTTTTTGAATATTCACGATAGTCGTATCTTAAATTTTACTCTAACAAAGGTCTCCTGTTTAGATTGAACTATTTTAGCATCTTGAAATTTTCCTGATTCTGCAATATTAGGATTCTTTTATATCGTAACTGTTTTGTTATAAATTAAGTAGATCCCGCTGCTTTGAGACAAATCCGCTAGAACTATGTAGCGAGCGCTCGATTTCAATTTTGTAGTGGGTTTTGGGTTCATTCATCAACAAGCGGGTAACACTTAAAAGCTGAAGACGCCGAAGACGCTGAAGTCGCTGAAGTGGCGAACGATTGATCGATGGAACGCCGCGGCTGAACGAATTCCGCGAATTTGCCAAAAAGTAAATTAACGTTTTTCACCCATCAACAAGCCGCTGAGCCGTTACTACTACGCATAGAAGGCTGAAAAAACAGTGAACTTGTTCAGCAGTAAGTTTACATCGTTTTTCTCTGATTTCTATTGGTTAATCTTTATGTTTTTGATATGAAAGTGTATGGATAAACTTGAGTTTGGGAATAAAATCTAAAAGATGTTGTTGATTGGGACTTGGAAGAAATGTACTGTAAATTTCAAGTGAAATTTTTTTCAACGTTCTAAAAAATAACAAATTTATAATTGACTTAGGTAGCCTGAAAGCCTTGAGCCCACACCTGTCACAACTCACAATCACATGGCTTGTGCAATTAGTCTTCTCTCAAGTGACATATTTTTAATAAAGTATTTAAATTGAATGTAAATCTAAACTAGGTTTTTGGTAACCTTGTTCAATCGTTGCTTGTTGATTCAACTTTCAACCTACTTGTTGAGTTGTTAGTCCTGTTCACTGTGGAGTGCCAAGTCGCCCGAGTGTAGTCTGTGACTCTGTGGAGTAGCTATGTACCTAATTCTAATCATAGTGTCTTTATGAAAGAATTCAAATAATGTTTATGACTTGTATTATTATTCTATTAAGGGGACCGACCTAGCTCCGGAGAAACTTCTACAGTTATTATCCGATCATCATGAAACTTCACATACATACGTAAAATGTAAAAATAAGAACATTTTGCTCGTATGAATTTTTCGAAAAAATTGATAGAAAACGTGAAATTCATAGAAAACGGCTAAAAAGGGGTACTTCAGAAAATCTATCTCCTCCCACAAATATCATCCTACAAC